AAAACAAAAACCGCCTTAACGAAACCGCCACCCTGACACCACTGCCGGCCTGAGTTACAACCGCCTTTTCGAACTCAGGCCATGACAAAGTTTCTGACTGCCTGTTTTTTCTGCCTTTGCGAACTCAAAACATGCCGCGTCCGCCATTGTTTCTTTTTTTATGGACAGCACGCCTGCGCCGTCTGTTTCGGATGACATCTCATAGGCGAGGAGTTTCTTTTCAGCAAGGCTGGGGCTGTGTACTAGCGGTTTAAAACCGTCAAAGGTAATGGCTGGCACCGCAAGCCAACAGAAAACCAAAAGCGCAGCGCTGGCATTTTGGCAAAGTTTGACGTGCAAGGGGAATCTGCCTCGGCAAAAAGAGGCTGGGATTCCCCCTGTGCGCCAAAGAAAAAAGAACTGGCGCATTTCTTTTTTGGATGGCACTGCCAGCCATTTAGCTTTGGCAGGCCATGACCCGAAAGTTGTGGCGCGCGCACAGCTGGATTTGGGAAGAAGAATGGATGGGAAAATTACTGGTGGTTCTAGTTTTCACTATAATTCTACGAATAGAATCAGCATCTGGGCTACGAGACCCACGTGGGCCCAAGTCCCCCACTACCAGCATTCTGTTTCCGCAACGCCTGAATCTGGACGTGGACGTGTTTGCAGAGTTGTGCGGTTGAGGAAACTGGATGCTATTTCTGCAAAATCTCCCCAAACATGTCCAGATTCAGGCGTTAAGAAACTCAACTCAACCCTGTTAGTGGGACCTGACCCTGGCAAGGCCAGTCAGACTGGGCCAGTGGGACCCACCTGCCAGGGTTCCCCGGGCAAGTGTTTTACGCGGTTCTTTTTCACATCTTGTTTGATAGCTACTATCCTAGAGATGGTGAGTGAATCTTCAGGACAGTCTGGAGGTTTCACAATTCGCTGGGTCCAAGGTGGCGGGAAGCGGGCCCAAGGTGGTGGGGAGCGCCAGCTGGTGGAACTTGGGTCCAGCGTCCCAGTGGATTATTCATGAGGCCCACGAAAATCCCCCGTTCCTAAGTTCCTAACCCTCTCTCTCCCCTGACAACCATCTTCCAACAACGCTTCATCCCTGCCACTGCTCTTTCTTTGTTCATTGCACGTAGTCGTAGACTGAGGCCTTTGGCTCCCCTAGGCTACACGTTTAATATTGGAGCAATCCAATCAAGGGGACTGAGTGAAGCACTGCTTTCCGTAACTGAGGCCTTTGGCGCTCCCAGACTGAGGCCTTTGGTTCTCCGTGTTGTGGAGGAGGCAGCGGTCGAACAGGGGTGGGAGGAAGGATGAAGGAAGGTGGGGTCGAGTTTCGACAGGTTCTGCTACGTGTGACGAACCACTTCCCGACCCCGTGCTATCTTTCGTACCCCTTGACTCAATTCCCCCCCTTTGTATCATACCGAATCAACAAAGCCCCCGTCGCTTTTCTTGATCTCAGGTGCCTTGTTTAGGCCCCCATTTTTCGGAGGTTCTGTTGATTCTTGGAATTTTGCTTTTTGTAATTCGGGAAATGCATGGGAAATTTACGCGCGCCTTAGCGAGCGCACTGGGAATCGGAATTAGCGGAACTCGACGTGTCTTTTTCTTTGCATGAATGTTCTCGGTCACGTCGGAGAAAACTCTAGGAATTTTGTGAGAATACGGATAGGCATAGGACTTTCTTTTCCCGCGTCGACTTTCGCGCGCGGATATGGCGATTTCAATTTTTCAATTGGTGTAGGACATAGGCAAGCTGTAACTGTTTTGGTGCCTTTTTTTTTCTCTTGTTGTCGGCGCCGCGCATGCGAGCTTCCTCCTCCTTATTTCCCGCGTCATTCTTCCCCCGCTCTCTCTTCTGTCTCCCTTCTCCCTCCTCTTCTTTGCCTATCGCAACTGTTTTTCCCTCTTTCTACTCTTTGCGCGCCTGTTTTCCCTTCTTGATCATCTGAATCTTGGACCCGTCTCGCGCTACTTTTTGCGCCTC